AGTCCGCAGGGGGCCGGGGTGGGCGAGGGGGTGCTGAGGCCTGTGGGTAGGCAAGTGTGTGTGACTTATGTCCCACTGCAAAGGAGAAGCCATAGCATAGTGCTGTGCCGGTCCTGGGAATCGGAGCTTGTGAATTAACTTATTTATGCGAACAGTGTACCGGCCCCATGTCGCTGTATAGTGTGTTGAAGAAGCATATGCAAGTTGCTCCCTCCCCCAAGGGCTAATAGTTTCCCTCAGGTGATGCCAAGAGTACTTTTAAGTACTTTAGAGATTCGTTTGCTGACAAGGCATTTATATTACGTTTATTGAGGGTTATTTCTTTGTCATTTCTAAAAAACCTAACCCCTCCAAGGAGTCCAACATGGAAGAGTTTAAAGATGCAAGTCCACCTGAAGAATTACTTGATCACTTAAAGCTTTCTGATCAGAAGTCTTCAGAGACTGGCCCCAAAGATGCACAGAATCCCAAAAACATTGAAGGTGGATATACACCATCCTCAGCCAAAGATCCCACAACAGCAGATGAGTGTTTCCATGACTGTCACGACTCCTTTGAGGCAAAAGAACCTATGCTGGATGATGAAGGGAATTTACGGAATGATGAGAATAGCTCAAGGAAGCAGACAGAACTAGATGAAGAATACTTACTAGAACTAGAAAAAGATATGCCAGAAGAAGAAAAACAGGTAATCCAAAATACCGGTGTTGAATATAAAAAGATATATTTTCAGTGTCACGTTTCTGAACGGTCTGTGACCAGCATGAAAATGGACCTTTAAAACTCTCTTATGTGTCTAGTTTTACTGTTCTCAATTTCTTCTTTTAGGTAACAAATATTTTTGTTAGCTTTCCTTGCTGTTCTTAATCATCACATTCTGTTCCAGATTTTTGTCTACTTTCACCACCATGTAAGGTTACTGTGACTCAGAGAGATTATAAGAAACAAAAATCTCCCTGTTTCGTGTTATTTAGTTGTGTGCATTCATTGTTTTTGCCTGATTAGCTGCAAGGTGCTTTTCCAAAACTCAGAGCAGGTTTCAGGATACTTTTCATATCTGAAAGGCTAGTTTAAGTAATACAACTAATTGGGATTAAATTTGAAAGTATCCCTATAGATTACTTAAGCTTTAAACAAACAAAACACATTAAATGTGTGGCTTTGTTTACTTTCAGTGTGGTTACATTGGACAAAATGTTTGGGTAACAAACTGGATAATGTTGTGGGGAGTAATGAAATAGGTCTTGGGGGGAAGTCCAACAGCCTCTGTAATGGTGTTTACTCCCCTGTAAGTCTGTGTGAACCAGTTTTTTTGACCCTCAGTCAGTGGTGTCACTTGACAGCAGTTAGTTTTCAGGGTTCTAAGATATTATGGTCATCAACTAGTTAGAAAAAAAGAACTTTTTTTTTTCTAACTTTGAGAAAACTTGTTAAATGACGTTCAAGGTTACACTCTGTTCACTTGAGTAATGCGGTGATTTCTGCTGGTAATTATGTTCTCATAGCAAATGGTAGAAGGCTTTCTACTGATTCATGGATTTTTTTTTTTCCTAATTTTTTTTCAACTTTAGTTTGCAAATGGTGGGGGACTAAAGATACTAAACTAAAATCTGTGTCCCAACATACAACTCCTGTAATTTTTTTTTTTTCTAAACACTATTTTTGACAAGTTTTATAGCTTGGCCTCTTGAACAGATCATGTTTCAAAGAACTGATCCTCTTAAAATCTGATTGAATTATCCAAACGAGCAGTTACTTGTACTGAAAATTGAAATAGTGATGAAAAGTACTACTATATTCTTTGGCAGTTGGGGAAAAGATAGAATTATGACATATTGTAACTTACGTGAAGGGAAGACTTCAGCAAACTTTATTTTATAGTCCTGTAGGCATGAATTAGATCTTATTTTAATAAAGGAAATAGAGTCCTAACTGAAATGCTAGCTGCACAATTTGGATCGTAGGTAACATTGAATAACTGATTATGATGAGGGAAGGAGAGAGCGGAGTAAGGAGTGGCAGCTGACAAGAGAAGGTAGGCTGTATCTTAGGAAAGCATTACTTCGTAGTGGAGGATAGTGTATTGTATAGCTGTATAGTTTATGTTCTGGAAACTCACAAATCACCAGGAGCAATAGAAGAAATTGCTACTGCAATGGACAAGTACTACTAAAATGAGACATTTGATGAAAAAGAAGAAATGAAGGGTCATACCAAATTAATTTTTTAGAAGTGCTTAAAATATTACGAATGTGTCAGTGAATTTATAGGGGCTTATTACTCTTGTACAGGCAGGCTGATCTTTTCTAATTCAACTGACTTGGTAAAGCTGGACCACCTTTCTTAACTGTTGGCTCGCCCTGTCTGTGTTGTATAAGTAAATAAATGCTGGCTATACATTGCCCAAAAAAGTTGGAAAGAGGGAGAGGCTTGGCAGTAACTTGACTACACCATGGTCTTACTGCCAGCTACTGTAAATAGAGAATGAGGGGCAGAAATATGCAGAGCTAAGATGCCGGAGGCAACCAAACATCTAGATTGTTTGTTATAAACCAGTATAGAGAAATTTAATCAAGTTGTGGCTCAAGTAGTTCCTTTACTGGTAGGGTGGGATTTCTGACCAAAATACATCAGTGAAGACAAAAAGGTAGTTTTTCATCTGTAGTACAGATTGTCATGTTATTGTAGAAGTTCCTTGAGGTGGAAAAGCAATATGGGACTAGTGGGAAAGTGGAACATGGAATATAATCTCCTTGAAGTAGGAATGAGACTAAATGTAATGCTTGTCTGCTGCTTCACCTTGTGGAAATCGCTTCATAGCTCGCTTGCTCTGCTCTCAATTTTGACATCTGTAAAATGGGCATCATGATGCTTGGCAGTTGTAATACTTTGAGATCTAATAAGGAATAATGGGGGTGGGGGGAAATCTCAAGAGGTTATCTGGTGCATCCTTTGCCCCAAAAGGGCCTCTGAAGAGGTCATCTAGTCCAACCCCCTGCTCAAAGTTAGATAAAATAGATCAGCCTGCCCAGAGCCACGCAAACATCTCAGAGCCTGGAGATTACACAGCCTGTCTGGGCCCCTGTTCTAGTGTTTAAATACCCTCACGGTGTTTTTTCTTTGTATTTAATTAGAATCTCCTTTGTTGCAACTTGTGACCACTGGCCCTTCTTTTTCTGCATGCCTCCAGGAAGAGTCCATCTCCATTTTCTCTAGCGATGAGGTCTCCCCTGAGCCGCCTTTTCCTAAGGCTGAACAAACTCAGTTCTTCTAAGGCTGTCTGCTTAGGTCATGGTGTCCAGTGTCCTGACCATCTTGGGGGCCCTCCGCTGAACTACCTCTGGGAAGTCGATGTCTGTTTTGCTTTTTTTTGTATGGAGGGGACACCAAAACTAGGCACTCTCCAAATGCATTCTCTCAGGTGATGAACAGAGGGAAATAATCACTTTCCTTGACCTGCTCACTACACAGAAAAACCATTATCACATTGCCCTTGTGTCTTTTCCAGTTTAGACTAAACAGTCCCTTTTTTCTACTTGTATTTATTGCTTGTACGACAAGGAACATTGTCACAATGAGGCTTCTGCAGCAGCCTATAACTTGAAGGCAGCTTGAGAGTTTCATAGGCAAAATGCTAAAAGCTGGGGGAAATGATGTCATAGATTTAAACTCTAGAAAGAGCAGCAGGCCTGGAAATTGGGTGTCTTAGTTTTCATGCTGCTCTTGTTTCTGTTTTATTGTTAGGCAATCGTTTAATTTTGCACATCAATTTTTACCTTCTGTAAAGTGAGCAAAAGAATTGTGAATGTTGAATACTTGCATTCAGCTTTGTGGAACTCCATTGAAAGGTGCTATGGGAATACAAAATAATAACTGTTTAAAGCTGGAAAGATTTCCTTAGAGAAAGTATGGAGACAGCTGTAGTTCTCATCTTTTTGTAGGTTTATTTCCAGTGGTATTGAGTAATTGTGCCTTTCAGCTTAGTTTATGATTACACCTAATGAAATGGAGGGATTGCATCTCTTAGTATCACCATAACTGTTAGATTGGCAATACTTACATTGTGAACTTTGTTTATGTTCCATAGAGAGCTTTCTGAGTGGATTATATAAGCACTCTTTAAAATATAGCTATTTTTTTTCTCTAACAAAATATTGTTGGTGTCTCTTACAAGCAGAGCTTGAGAAATCCAGAAACTAGAGATGAATTAGAAGCTTACAGCAGTTGTTACGACTATTGAAGTAGCCCATTTGCATGATCTTACCCTGCATCACCTTACATTCTCTGTGTAGTAAAACCATGGGGATGGGTCGTTCCTGAATTGCCGCTGCAACTTTCCTCACAGTATTGGGAATTGATGGCTACAAATTTTATTTTATTTTTATATAGAACATTTCACTAGATGAATTAGAAGCTTACAGCAGTTGTTACGACTATTGAAGTAGCCCATTTGCATGATCTTACCCTGCATCACCTTACATTCTCTGTGTAGTAAAACCATGGGGATGGGTCGTTCCTGAATTGCCGCTGCAACTTTCCTCACAGTATTGGGAATTGATGGCTACAAATTTTATTTTATTTTTATATAGAACATTTCACTTTTAAAAATATTTTTATTATAAAAAGAATCTGTTAAATGATGCAGCTTTTAAGAAAAAAATACTGCAGTTACCACCTGAAAACAGCTGCTGTACATACATTTATTCAGAGTTTTTAAAACATTTTAAACTTCCTTCCAATTACTCAAAAGGTTGTTTTTGAGAAGAAGGACAATATGATTTTTTTTGCAGCTGGAGAAAATGAGGCAGAAATATTCAGAACTTGTTTATTTGACTGTTGTGACCAGACACTCAGCAGCAGTGCTGTGTTTGCTACTTAGGCAGTCCTTGATCAGTCATTCTCAGCCCCCTGCTGCCTTCTTCATTGTGCTAGCACACCTCTCTGTGTGAATGTGCAGTGAACCAGTTACGGGGAATGATTCAGATGAAAAATAATGCTGTATTTTTAGATCAAGGGCAGTGCTGGTAAAAGTAGACATCAAAAGGCAGCCTCATGATGGCATACAGGGGTAGATGGATTTTCTTCGATTAGACTACTTGCCTAAATAAGAAAAACTTCCTATGAACTGTGGTTGCAGCACCAAGCATAAACTATGTACTCAAGTCATAAGGAGAGCTGGATGTTAGCCCTGCTCAAATCACATTTATGGAGCTAATAGCTAGTTTTGGTTGGTTGGTTGGTTTGTTTTTTTTAACTAAGCCCATTGTTATGTTTTAGCAGCTTTAACAAACCGGTTCTTTTGAATGATGTTCTCCAATAACTAGGCTATAGAAAAGAAAGTCTCTAATTTATTCTGGAGATGCAAAGACAGATTCTAGTCCTTGCTCTGTGTATTTACACGTATCCTATGTGCAAGCTTTCATGGTGCCAGGTCTGAGCAGAAATTCTAACCTGTGCAGAAGCTGCTGCAGAGATCAAAGTGAAGGAGCAAGTGGTCGTGTATTTTCTCTCAATTATATTTCGAGAGCCCCATACAGTGAGATTTTAATTTTAAGCAACAGGACTTACTTCAGTACTGATACCATAAGAAGTCTTCTCTGCACAATGAAGCAAAATAAGAACTTGAAGGGATATTAAGACACAAACCTGCAAGAAGTATTCTTAAAAACAGATGTAGTATAGAGCCTG